GCCAGAATCACATTTGAAAAAAATGGTATTACATTAAACCAGTCCAGGAGCAATGCCGGGGGTGTGGGGGTGGGGTGGGGTGGAGGGATGTGACCTCAGGGAACATTTTGCGGCAGGGACTAGGTTTTTTTTTTTTTTTTGGCATCGTTCTCATTTTGTCAAGGTGCGTTCGGCAACTGTTTGCTAAAATCCGGCAACTCTCAGACTTACTAATAATAAAGTTATGAACAAATATGGCTGTCTTGTCGTTTGGGGAGCCATGCTTGAACCGTGTCGCTACCCTCTGCTGCTGAGAAACTCCGACACCTCCTCAGCTGGTGACACTTGTCTCCCACAGCACGCAATGTAACAGAGTATAGTGAGAGCATTACCTGCCACTCTTCATCCTCCTCTTTCGCTTTAACAATTTTTTGTGGTGTTTTTTAGTTTGTCAAAGCACAATTTTTGTGTTTTTTTTTAAATACAAAAGTAATGTTTAATAAATTTTAGGACTTTATTCTTTGCTAACAAGTCCTCCCCTCTGGACACATTTCACCCACAGCACGCATGCAACAAAGAGTATAAACTCAAAGCAAGACCGACACCCTCTTTATCCTTTCGTATTGACAAGTTGTTTTAGTTTTATTGATTTTTAAAGCACAATTTTGATGTTTTTTTGTTTTATTTGTTGTAAAACCAGATGTTTAACAAATGCTAGGACTCTATTCTTTGCTTACAAACAAACAAAAAAACAGAAAATAATTGAGAAGCACTGCATTAAGCCAAAGTGGAAGTGGCCAGAATTACATTTGGAAAAAAATGGAATTACATTAGGGGCAGCACAGTGGAGCAACTGGTAGAGCTGCTGCCTCTCAGCGAGAAGGTTGCCGGTTCAAATCCTGGTCCGGGGTTTGCATGTTCTCTCCGTGCATGCGTGGGTTTTCTCTGGGTACTCCAGTTTCCTCCCACAGACCAAAAACATGCATGTTAGGCTGATTGGTAACTCTAAATTGTCCCTAGGTGTGAGTGAGAGAGTGAATGGTTGTTTGTCTCTATGTGTCCCTGTGATGGACATGCGACCTGTCCAGGGTGTACCCCGCCCCTCGCACAGTGACTGCTAGACATGGGCACCGGCGACCCCTGTGACCCAAAATGGAAGAAGCTGGTAAAAGATAATGGATGGATGGGTGGAAGTGGCTAAAGAGGAAGTGGCCAAAGCAGAAGTGGCTGGAATCACATTTGAAAAAAAAAAAAAAAAAACGGAATCACATGTGAAAAAAATCTGAATCATGTTTGATAAAATGGAATCACATTTTTGAAAAAATGGAAATTATATAATTTTTGAATGATTACATTTTTAAATATGTAATTCTGTTTTTTCAAATGTAATTCTGTTTTTTCAAATGTTTTTCATTTATACCTCAGGGCCACTGTACAAGTATCTTCAAAACCCATGAGAATTTAGCAGAGTATTATTATTGCCAGGTCCCACTCACCAATCACAGCTACACAACAGAACCCACAGCATTTATCTGATGTCTGTTATGCTGCTGTTGACTGTTGATTTGCAACTAGTAGGTACTGCTAATCCCTCTTTTAGTCTCTGCCTGATTACAACCTACAACACATAAGGAATATGTACAACATCACAAATAATATTTATTTATGATTAAAGTTAAACGGGCAGCACGGTGGCGCAACTGGTAGAGCTGCTGCCTCTCAGCGAGCAGGTCCTTGGTTCAAACCCCGGTCCAGGGGCCTTTCTGGGTGGAGTTTGCATGTTCTCTCCATGCATGTGTGGGTTTTCTCCGGGTGCTCCAGTTTCCTCCCACAGACCAAAAACATGCATGTTAGGCTGATTGGTAACTCTAAATTGTCCCTAGGTGTGAGTGAGAGAGTGAATGGTTGTTTGTCTCGTTTGTCTCTATGTGGCCCTGTGATGGACTTGCGACCCGTCCAGGGTGTACCCCGCCCCTCGCACAGTGATTGCTGGACATGGGCACCAGTGACCCCCGTGACCCAAAATGGAATAAACGGGTAAAGATAATGGATGGATGGATGGATTAAAGTTAAAGGAAACATAGTATTTTGACAAAGAAGAATTTTCTTATACTGTATGTATTTCTCTGAATAGAATTATTACCCAAAAAAAAA